AGCATTCTCATGAATCCTCTTCAGATGCATAGCCATGACATAAAAGATGTAATAAGAGTAATTATAACATCAAAGACACTCCTTATCAGTTGGTGGATCATTCTGCAAGAACATATCAATAGTTGAGGGAAATTCAAAATCTCCAAAATCATCACTATTATTTTCTGAATGTAACACAATAGCTTTGCTCAAAAGCAAATGTGCCAACCTGAATGGCTCTTTCTTCTCACCGCTCAAGAAATGATTGATCCACCCCTCTAACCTCTCAAATTCCTTCCCATTCTTTGGGCCCTTCATCCCAATAATCTTTCCATAAAATTCATCATCACGTCCCGCATTAAAGAACCCTTCCCTTTTGTTTGGCTCTTCACGATGCGATAGCCCTAATAGATGCATCAATAGCACAATGTCATCATCAAGATTGTTTTCTTTAGTTTGACCGAGCAGTTCATGGATTCCACCATGGGTTTCTTGAGGAGGGCTATCACGGGTTGGTGAGAAATCAGGGGAATTTGTGAGAAATTCTAGAGGGATTTCACTTTCTTGTAGAGATGAGGTGTTTGCATTGGAGGTGGTGGCGGCGGCAGCAGCAGCAGGGTCATAGTCAAGGTAAATGGGCGAACCAAGAGAATCAGTTTGTTCGGTGTTGATGTTTTCTTGGTTCGGCGGATGCGGCGGAGGGAGAGTGGAGGACTGTGATGAGTAGTTTTCAAGTTTGAGCCTTTTTTCCAGTTGTCTGAGAGAGGAGAAAAATTGGGCGTGTCCCTGCATTATCCAGACGATTCTGATCAATTAGCGCCTAGGGTTGAACGATTTTTATGGCAAAATTACCCAATAGCGCCAGGCCAAAATCTGAATGGGGACATGAACATGGTCTTCTGGTTGGCCATTGGACCGATCAGCTCACCCACTCAATTCGATTCATGGAGTGCCCGAGCTCATCTAAGGACGAATAAGAGCAAGAGCCGAGCCCAAACAACAAGCTCATTGGTCGAGCTGGCTCGACTGGCTCATGCACCTCACGTTGCCTCGACTTTTTATTTTATTTTATATATCAAATTTAAATTTTATAAACTTAATGAATTACGTGAATTTGCATAAAATAAGTATCCCTCAGGGACCTTCCTCGACTAGACTTCAAATGTGTGGATTTGCTGATCTATGAGTGACTAAGATGGTCACATGGGGATTTTGAAATTTAGTCAGTTCTATTTATCCAGACAATGTGTTACTATTTATGGGATTTTTTTTGAAGAGCTTCAGAAATTTTCTTAAAAAAAAAAAAATCTCCCTAGCCTATGACAGGAGGTAATTGTGTGGAAAAACTAACTGTGTTTAGAACAATCCAATGATCAAATGTCATGTGACATTTATCGACCATTATGTCAAACTTTCTGTTGATGTAACATGATTTTAAAAAAAAAAAAAAAAAAGAAGAGGAAATTGCACTTATTGTCAATTTTTGGCTTTGCATTTACAAAAATGTCACATTTTAAAAGTCTTTACAAAATTGTCAATTTTGGACATTTTTGCCTCTCTAGATAATTTAAATACTCTACATGTCATGAGATTTAACTATATAAAAAATTGTACAAAAAACTGAAAAAATGTCATATCAAAATAAGTTTTCACCATTTTCAACCCTAACCCAATATCATTTACAATCTCTTTTCACCTTCCTTCTCGTTTCCATTCCATCTCCTTCCTTCCCATCTCTATTTCA